CCTGCTTCTCCCTCTCCCACTCCCCCTGCTTGTGTTCCCTCTCTCGCTGTCTCTCTCTCTGTCAAATAAATAAAATCTATAAAAAAAATAAAATCCTTTATAAAAGACACAATTGTTAAGACCACATGGATTAAGCTAACCAGTTTTAAAAATATACCCTGAGCCACAGTATGGCTTGACAGTGAGTTTCTTAAAAATTAAAATGGGGGGCGCCTGGGTGGCTCAGTCGTTAAGCGTCTGCGTTCGGCTCAGATCATGAACCCAGGGTCCTGGGACCGACCCCCGCATCGGGCTCCCTGCTCAGCGGGAAGCCTGCTTCTCCATCTCCCTCTCCCCCTGCTTGTGTTCCCTCTCTCACTGTCTCTCTCTCTGTCAAATAAACGAATAAAATCTTAAAAGAATAAAAAATTAAAATAAATAAATAAATAAAACGGATCTACACTGAAGCTGGACAGTGCTCCAGTCTCCTGGTTTACGGTTACAGTTACATTATCTGCAACTGCTCTGATGACAGTAAGCTTCATGATAAACAGAAATACTAGACCTTCACAACTTCAGTAATATCTTTTTCAATCCCATGGATTAAAATTAGAAATTGTTCCCAGAAAAAGTGAAAGTTTCCTTTTTTTGCTTATAAAAATCATACACTAAAAGGGTAGTAAAAAATGTGTAGAATTTCTTGCCCCTTAGGATACGACGGAGGCTACAGAAAGACAAGAAGTTAAATGTTTGCCCAAATATTTCAGTGAAATAAAACTGAAAAAAATATTATGAGACTCTTTATTAGTATAGTATCACCTTACTTTCAAATTGTGACTCATACTGTTATTTATTGAGCACTTAATCTTGCTAAGTTCTATCTTAAAGATCACTCCAATTAGCTTATAAAAGCAGGACAATTAGTATGTAAAACCACAGGTTTCAAACGACTTGACTCATTCATACTTAACTAAAAACAGTATATAACAGCATATTCTACTGACACAGAAAATAAACTGATTTTGGTTTTGATATTCAAGTGAGAACCCTTTCAAGGAAGGGCCCAAAGGGAGTATATGCTATTAATTATAGATAAGGTAGGAATTAAAACCCCTCCCCCTCCCCTGCTTGTGTTCCCTCTCTCGCTGGTCTCTCTCTGTCAAATAAATAAAATCTTTAAAAAAAATTAAAAATTAAAAATTAAAAAATTAAAAAAAAAAGAGGAGAAGTCTAATATTTTGGGGTGAAGTGCCATGAGACTTGAAACTAAAATTCAAATGGTTTAACAACAACAATAATTTGTATAGGCACATAGATTAAAAAAAGAGCTAATACAGTAAAATGTTAGTAACTGATAAAACTAGATGAAGGATATATGGGTATTATTTACTGCTGAAATATGTCAATGAAAATATACGTAGAAAAAAAATATTGCCTATACATTCTGAAAATGGTTATACTCTATGGCTTTTTAAGATAGGCCAGTATCAACTATTTGCTCAACATCTAATAAAACACTTGGAATTAAGAACATTATCTAGACATCAGGCTATAAAAGAAACTAAACTATCAGCTTAATAGAAATGAGATGAAAAGTACACTACATGCACTCATCTTTCAGCACCTCCACTCAAAAAGAAAACAAAACAGAATGCAGGGGAATACTATGAGAAGTACAGTCTTATTAGGTATCCACTCTCCTTTGTTGACATGTTACTGAAAATGTGAAAATCAAGTATGTGAGAGCCTAACAAATGTTTTAACAAGGGTTCCATCCAAAGGGGATTTAAAAAAGGAAGTACCCAATGACACCTCATGTTTTAGATCTAATTTTCACAGAATATTTAATATTTCACACAGGCCCTTTAATTTTGTCCTTTTCTTCAGAAATATGTAAGTTTAAAGAATGTCTGCCTGACACCCAAACCTGATGATTACCTATTTTTTCTATGTATTTATGGGATCGCTGCTACAGAATAATTTAAGTTTTCAGCTACTTTTTCAAAGAGTAGAGAAAATGTAATTTTTAAGTAATTGCATATGAACAGTATTAAGATGGCAACACTGTTGTAAGATGGCTCCAACTATTATTTATTGACAAAAATGAAATTTAGCACAAAAAAGATAGATAAATGATATATAAATGAGGGAGCTGTTCAAAGGTTAACATAGGAAAGCTCAACAATCAGACTACTGAAAACACTTTTCATAATCACTTCCTACCCGGGTTCTGAAAACAGGAAGTACTACTGGATAACTCTGTCTCATTAGTTACTGATGACAGAGTCACCTGAGTTGCTGAGGCTATCTGTGTTCTGAAAGGCAAATATGCATAAAAGGACAAAAGCACTTCCACATTTACTAAGCATGAGGAATTTCAACCTGGGGTAAAAAGATTAAGAGAGCTGGGAAGATGTAGGTAAGAAAATTCATTACCACAAAGAGAGATCTTTAATAAATTTCCATTAGCCAGATGATATCTAAAAGATTATAAAAAATGGCTAACCCTTGTTTCTAAAATCAATTTTTTTAAATGAACAATTTATTGCATTTGTATAATGATCTAAAAGCATACTGCACATTTATAATAATTTCATACTTATGAAAGAAACCTTGTGAGTTTGGTGATTTCAAAATCATCTTTATTATTCTACACACAATGACGCGAAGTTAAAGACCTTACCGAAACTAAATAGCAGAGACAGGCACTTGAAATGAGTTTTAGAGCTTCAATTAACTATCTGTGTGATCAAAATCTCTCCATATTCTTTAGAAGCCAATACCAAAATGAAATAATGTAACTAATGTAATAAGAATCCCAGGTGCTAAGAAAATTGTAAGATAATACACTCTGACCTGTATCTGCTGCAAGTGATTAACAGAGACGCAAAACTTCTGGAGTTGCGTGGTGACTGTATCGGTAACACCACTAAGATGTATGTACTTTAACAAATTCCTTAAAAATCTCAAACTATTTGAGATAATAAATTCCAAACCTCACCCAAAGGTTTCTGTGAGGATTAAATGAGAAATATATGCAAATGACTTAGCACAGACATTTTTAACTTGTCCTTATCCAGTAACTGACAGCAATTCTCATCAGTTGCTTTAGAATTGAAAAAGAAGCTCAAGGTATCAGAATTCTCATCAGTTGCTTTAGAATTGAAAAAGAAGCTCAAGGTATCAGAATTCACTAAAAGATCCAGGAACACACTTCGAATCTGTAGATATGAACTCAGTTATCCTTCCCTTGTATCTCAGAGACTTACTTCAGTACTTTTCAAACAAAGATATGCACTGGTGAACTAGGATATGAGAAATTACTAGGATAATTAGGGGGAAGATTCTTGGATTATCAATTTTTCACACAATTAGGAGACAGAAGCTGAAAAATTTAACAGTTTAATAGTAATATACCTGTTGAAAACTTTACATAATCTTTTTTTATATTAAACTAAACATGTACATAATGTAGACCAAACTGTAAAACACACTTAATTTTGAAGGTAAAAATAATTGACCTCTGAGAATATTTGCATCTGCTGACACACGTGTGGCTATGTCCTCAAACACAATGAATTTTAAGAAGTTTTATTAAGTATAAACTGCATTTACTAAGAGATATAAAATTCTGCATTATAAACACCTTTATATTACTGATCCCATTTTTAAATTTTAGATTTTAACTTTCCAAGTCATTTTTTAAAAACTCAAGTACACGTCAATATAACTGAAATCACTACCATATAGGTTATAAGCATTTTAATGCAATGTACATAAAGCAAAAACATTAATGCATTCTACACACACTCTACTCACCTCTCTGACACTTATTTTAATGTTTTACAACAAATTTACCTGTATGTTGACTCTTTCAATCACACAAGAAAGGACATGCAAAACATGCATCTTTGTGTCACATTCTGTAACTTGCTGCAGTAGCTGAAAAAGTAGTGTGAACATGGTTTCCAAATACTGCAGGGAAACAGAAATAAAAGGGGGGTCAGAACAGAAACAGAGTTATCTTCACAAACAGAATTAAGAAAATTAAATCATAATCTCAAAGCAATAAACGGCAATCAACCAAAACCTCAGCATTACCTAAATAACTTCAAATTGTTCAAGTTGCCAATATTTAGGACAGTGATTCTTTTTTCTTTATTATTGCTCAATGGGTCCATAATAATGTTTTCAGAGGAAAATTGTGTCTACACTGTGTTTACACTTTATACCGCTAACTAAACTGCTAACAGCGTCTCTCGTCTTTGCCCTTCCATATATGTCTGTTGCCAATCACAGAATGTTCTGTTTTGCAAATTCTACTCGTTAAAGCAAAAAGGAGTATCAATAACTATACTCACATACCAGCTCTCTGATGTGGCCCTTAACATATGCTGCATGGAGGTATCAACTTCTGCACAGATATGTTACTCAAAGAATGACACAATATTATTAGGAATTAGAAAACAAGTATCCCATGTCTGGCTATTAACTCTTTCCTATGTTACAAAATTACGGTAGGAATTAACAAATCACAGGATGCCAGATACTTACATAAAACAAACTTCTGACCTTTCAGATAGCTTGCTTACTTTTAGGAAGATTTCAAAAACATATTTATTTCATCCAAAAATACCTAATGATTCTTTTACTAATGAAAAACCTGGCTCTATAAGTTTCTCCATGTATGACCTACACAAGAAGTACAGATAGACATTTTATCATATTAACTTTCTTCTTGCCCAGTCTTTTTTTTTTTTT